ACCCTGCCTCTCTTGGGGAGACTCGTGCCCATGTTGTGTGAACAACTCTGCACGAGCACCTAAGGAGGCTTACCTCCTTACCAGCCCGTGGTGGCGCGTACGTGTCTCTACTGAGATGTACGAAGGGATTGACAACCTGAAATCCCTTTACGACCGTGCCGGGAAGACTTTCTCCGGCGGTCCTTCTGCGGCACAGGATGTGTCGCGTCGTACTGCTCGACCAGACCCAGTACGTCAACCATCAATTGGGAGCGGGGCTCCCAAGAATCCCAGGACGGGGGATAGCCGCGCCACCGGACGAGGTAACTCGTCCGACGTCCGTTCACGTCGCGGTGGTTCAACAGCTGCTCTACTAGATAGCGCTGGCCACCGCGAGAGTCCTCTAATGGAGGTGGAGGAGGAGGAAAGACGCTCTCCACACGATCATGTGGATCGGTGTGTTCCCGAGAGCTTCTTTGATCGCGTAACGCAAGGGTTACGCGACGATCTCGAGCATGAGCGGAATAGGCGTCTCCAGATGGTGGACACTGCCTCGAAGCATCGAGCTGAGTTTGCCTTTGCTCAGCTTGAGAACGAGAGATCTCTGACATCTCTTCGTGACGAGCTAAGGGTAGCTCGTGGGATTGTTGATCGGTCTCGGGCTGAGATAACTGCTCTTCAGACCCTTGTTGATGCCCACCATCGGGAGCACAAGGCTCTCTGCGAGATGCTTGAGCGCAAGGGCGTTCTTCATCGGAAGAAGCAGCGTACTGATGGTACGGCTTAAGCCGACCAACGTAAAACGTGGGATGCGTTCGCATCTTACGTGGTAACTCGATCGTGTATGCATTGCCTAGGCGGTGCAATACACGAAATGGACCAATGTACTTGGGTAGTAGTTTACTGCTACCCAAGTTAGTCACTACATGCTTTGGTAGATTAACCGTAGACAGTAGGACTAAGTCACCTTTATTAAATAAAAGAGTGTTTGCCCTTCCATTCTTGTCAGCGTTTTGCTTTTGCTTATCCACCGCTTCGGCGATGGAGTCTTGCACAAAACGGACTACCGTTTCACGAGCCAGTATGAACTCATCTGATGACTCGTTAGCTTCAGTGTGCTGTGAGCGCACTGCAGCAACAACAACCTTTTCTTCAGTGAGGGCTTCCGCACTCTCACTGGGATCATTGTCTTCAGTGAGGGCTTCCGCACTCTCACTGGCATCATCTTCTTCGATATCGATGTTATCGATATCGGCATCAAACGCAATGACTTCTTCGTCAGAGCGTGATGAGCGTGAACCAAATCGGTTTTTGCTCGCGCGAGTCCCTCCCCCCTTAAACCAGAGTTACACTCTAGTAAGGTGGGTATACGCGGATGGCGCAAGCCATTCACGTAAAACGGTGTATGTGTCGTGGACGCATGCACCGAGTTGTTGATGGCAAACTCTACCATTGGCAAAAACTCACTCCAACTCTTAAAGGAGTGTACGTATCCTCGAAGTATCTCTTCAAGGACACGATTGGCACGTTCCGTCTGACCATCTGACTCTGGATGATCAGATGTTGACATCTTCAAGCGCGTTCCGAGTGATTTGAACACGGAACGCCAGAAATCAGCAGTGAATCGTGGATCTCTGTCTGATACGAGTTCACGGGGCAACCCATGAAGTCGGAAGATGGTGTCAATAAAGACACAAGCACAGCCACTTGCCGTGATTGTCTCTGGTACAGCCACAAGGTGTACCATTTTGCTGAATCTGTCAACAAATACGAGAATACCCGTATTCCCGCGTGCGTCTTTGGGTAACCCGAAGACGAAATCCATTGAGATGGATTCCCAGCACTCAGCCGGAACCGGTAGAGGCTGTAAAGGTGCACGCAGTGAAGGACTTGACTTCACTCGTTGGCAGACTTCGCATGCGCGAACATACTTTCGCACAAACTGATACTGGCGGGGCCAGTAAAAGTCTCGACTTACCGTGAGATATGTTTTCTCTCGGCCACGATGTCCTCCTATAGGAGCATCGTGATACTCGAACATGATCCGCAAACGCAGATCAGTATCATCTGGAATGACAACACGTGGTGTGTCACCAGAAACGGCTGTATAATACAGTAAACCGTTATGAGTAGTGTATCGATCTGATGCAGATCGATACGCAGACGACAATCGTTTCGACGATTCTCGAGATGGTTGGGAGAGGTGTGTCAACAACTTCACTATCTCACCATCTTGGGCGTATGCCCGCCTCACATCATCATACAACGTTGTAGATGGTATCGAGGACGTCATAAACGCAACAGTGGCTGTCTCACTGTTGGGTTTCACGACTGGTTCAAAGTCGGGACGACGTGAGAGTGCATCAGTGACGACGTTAAGTCGTCCTGGTTTGTACTCGACCGTAAAGTTGTATTCTGCAAAGAATAACAACCACCGCGCCATTCGTTGTGAAAGGTGCGGGCTGTTCACTGCCGTGCGTAAGGACGCATGGTCAGTGTAAACAACGAAGGGTCTATCTCCTAATAGATAGACTCTGAACTTCGCGAGTGCATACTTCATGGCAAGGAGTTCCTTGTCATGCACTGGATAGTTCCGCTCAGCTGGTTGCAGCTGACGCGACTGATAGCAGACGACGCGTTCAACGCCTTCAAGGTCGTACTGCATTAATGCACAGCCGATTGCGAAATCGCTGGCATCACAGACCACATGAAATGGCCTGTCCTGATCGGCTATTGCTAGGACTGGGGATTGTATCAAGCTCTGCTTGATACCCTCAAAGGAGCGTTGACATTCAGCGTTCCATAACCACCTCTCGTTCTTTTTCAACAAACGAGAGAGGTGTACAGTCATCTCGGCGTAATTGCGTGAATACTTATGCAAATACGCCGCTAGCCCAAGGAATTTTCGAAGACCTTTGACATCGACCGGCACAGGCCAGTCGGTGATCGCCTTGATCTTTTCGGGATCAGGACGTACACCGTTCTTACCAACGATGCACCCAAGAAGTGGTATTTCGCTTGCTGCAAATATACACTTCTTGAGGTTAGCATACAATTGATGCTTTCGCATGATTGTAAGAACTTGTCGGACGTGGTACCTGTGAACCTCAACGTCCGACTTTCCATCCATAGCTCGACTATGGATGAATACGTCATCGAAATAACTCGGCGCGAACTCTCGTACTGGTCTCAACAGATGTGATACACATCTGTTGAACGTGGCAGGGGCATTACTGAGCCCTTGTGGCATTACTAGCCATTCCCAGAGCATGCCGCTAGGTGTGCTAACTGCGGTATAGGGTATGTACCGTTCCCGCATAAGGATTTGATAGAAGCCATCCATCAAATCCATGGACGAAAAGATGGTACTCTTTGACATACCATCAATGATTACGTCATTCCTCGGTATCGGCGTCTGAGCCGGTACCGTTGCAGCGTTCAACTTGTTAAACGCGTGCACTATCCGCCACCCTCCTGTTGCTTTTCGCACACAGAAGGTCGGAGAGCTATGTGGGGAATGTGTGATTCCCTCACATGGCCCGCAGCTAAACGATCGGCAAAGAACTTGTCGATCGCAAGTACTTGTTCACGAGGCAGTGGCCACTGCTTCATGACACAGTACTTCGAGCCTGGTTTAAGCTCGACTTCGTGTCGAATACCTTTATCCTTCGGTAATTCGCACGGAACAGTTTCAGGGAATACATCCTTGAATTCAACCAAATCTTCATAGAGAGGATTTTCCTTGAGCGATTCCCATGATTGGGACTCATATCGCTCAATTCGTGTCTTTTCATCTAGGGCACTCTCGTCCATAGATGAACTACTGAGAACTCTCTCGTTCTCAGTAAACACTGTTGCTGACCTTATGTCGGTTACATACTCGTCTTCAGCGACGAGTATGCAGATCTGCTTGACTTTGCCACTACGCAGATCACGCAAGAATCTTTTATGTTCGAGCGTTGGCAACTGAGTGATCTCCGAAGTTAACTTTGGAGGCGCAATCAGATCAAGTGTATAAGCGCCTACACATGATCCATCATTGACTATGACATTCAAGGTCTCTGTCATTTCCTGGGGACTTATTCCCTCAGGCTTCGAAGGACTTATTCCTTCGTCTTCCCGGGGACTTATTCCCGCGGGTTTTGGGGAACTTATTTCCGCCGTATTTGTAATCTTGGGACTTATTCCCTTTACTTCCTCTAGCTGGGGTTGCGCAACCACAGCGAGATCCTCTACGAAAGACTCTCCAGTCGATCTAGGATTATCGTTTCGCTTAACCTGAGCGATCGATTGTTTCTCTTCTAGATGTTCCCCGCTAGGGATACATCTTTGTCCCAGTCCACTCGACTTATTCGAGTGGTGGACCTTCGGCGCAGCCTGTGATTCCTCACAGCCGCCGGAACTTTGCTCCGAAGTGTAACCGTTTGGTACACTAAGGTTTTGTGCAGTCGTACTAACGACCGTACCACAAGTGAGGCCATCGCACTCACTCGTAGTACATCCACACGCTTGTGGACGCTCCAAAACGTTCATCAGATGGCCATCTGATGAACAAGCGGCAGGCATCGTTACTGTCCGATGTTTCCAGTTTACTCGTGGTTCGTACCTTCTGAGCCACGGTATTCCAAGGATGACATCAAATTTGTCATCCAAATCCAATACGATAAAGTCATCGTCATATTGGGTATCTTCTAGCGTATAGTGGATCTTAACTATACGCTTCATGACGGTTACGGATGCGCCTGTCGCAAGACGTACCGTCATCCTCGTAGGAGGTGTGTCACATTCACTGAATTTAAAGTGACCATCTTCTAGCGATTGGCGTCGCACAAAATTGTTGGACGCCCCACAATCGACTAGAGCTCGAAGGGACAACTTATTCGTCACTTCGAGTTTCAAGGTAATGAGTGAGATCTCATTACCTAGAGCAGCAACGCACAATGTCTGTGTGTTGGGAGCAACCTTCATCAAGAGGCCTACAAATTCTCTTGACGTTGCTGGATCAGTAGGGTGCTCCGCACCTACTGATCCTGTCCGTTTTTTGACGGTCCATCCCGTTGTTGCGTCTTTGGACCAACAGTGGATCCGCGTCCCTGCCCCTTTCTCATGGGTGGACGGTCACTACGCCCAGTGTCGCGAGACACTGGACGAGGGGCACTACACTCGTAAGCGTAGTGTCCTGTCTTTTGACATCTGTTGCATCTCTGCAACTTCTTGTAGCCTGTAGAGCGAGCCTTCTCGCTCTCTACATAACAGAGTTCCATCGGCTCTGGACCTCCGTTGTCATATCGTCTCGGTTGACGATATGATGTCGAGCTGGCGCGAGCCTGTCTCAGACTGAAGTCTTCCTGCTCCGCAATTGAAATGGCTTGTTCTAGTGAATCTAGTTCAAGCCGGAACAGGTGAGTCTTGACGGGACCATCCGCAAGACCCTGCATGAACACCGAAACCAACGTGTGTTCATCCACCGGATTGGAACTTATACAACTCGTGAGATGTCGTATATGTTGAGCGTAAGCGTGCACATCACGCTTACCCTGCTTGAGCTTCAAGAGTTCGGTTCGAGCTCTGAACTCAGCTCTAGGCGGTTCAAACGTTTGTCTGAGCCGCGACTTGAAGACTTCCAACGACCCAAACGCATATGGGTCGTGCAGCTTGAGCCCCAGTGCCCAAGTCTTGGCACGTCCTGCCAGATTTGATTGGGCAAATGCAACTTGCATATCCCCGTCGTCGATGCGACGCGCCCTTATGGCGTCATCCAATTCGACGAACCATCTCAAGAGGGAGTCTTCTTCGACCCCCCTATACTTTGAGATGTCAATCTTCAAGGTTTCGGGTCGACGCGAGTGCATCGACCCACCAGCAGCAGCCTGCTGCTGTCTCAACAGTTCAAACTGTTGAGCACCCTGTTCTCTCAACAACTCTGCTTGTTGAGAACCTTGTTAGTGAAGCAAGGCTACTTTCTCGCGTTCTGCGTCAAGTTCATTTTGAATGAACTTGGCGATAGTAGCATGTTGGGCATCTCTATTGAGAGCCTCTAGCATGACGCTAACAGCATGGATGCCCATGGTCGAACCCATTCGTTCAACCGCATCCTATTCGACATCGCTCAAATGGGAGTAGCCGTCACGCGTAGCGTGAAAGCTTTGGTCATCTTCATCATCCAACATATTCATGTTGGATGTGAACGTGGTCCTTGGACGGACTACAAAGTGCTACCAGGTGTAACGGGGCACCCTGAAGCTTGTACTGGTGACAGTACAAGCTACTTATTCTGATAACAGAATAAGGCGGTGCCTCGTAACTTCACGTACACTCGTACGTGCAGAGGAAGACGGTAAGAAGAAGCGAGTACTCGGTTAGAGTAAAAAGTAGAACTGTATTTATAATAGTTAATGTCTGCAATAAATCACTATTTATCTTCATCTAACTATGTCTGAATACAAATGTGTAAATCAATTATCTGCTCACCACTCATTGCGTGCGTCTGTCGTGGCGCGTCTTCGTTGGTTGATATAATGGCCTATATCAACCAATTAGGAACTACTTGGAAGTGCTACAGAATATTTGTCCTTATGACAATATTCTGAGAATATAACTCTTATAGTTATATTCTATTAACAATTTCTTATAAATTGTTATGTAACGATTCACCCCGTTACAAGGATCGCATCTTCGTGTTTTTTCAATCTTTCAACAAGGCGACGCCTATTTTTTGAACTTGACGCATGTAATGGCAATCATACGACGAGCAGAAGGTCAAGTACAAGCTTGACAAACAGTCGACCACACGATACTCTAATAATGTATAGGATAGGATAGCCGGATCTTGACGGGCTGAAGCCCGCATGCGAACGAGTGCATGTGTGGCTGGGATATCTGTCGCAGCCTTGTAATGGAACGTGCGGTTCATTACTTACTCGTGAGTAGTGTACTTGAAACGACACCTATCCACGTTTCGCCCCTACGATTCATGCATTCGGGCAACACTAGCTACCTCATCTAGAAGAAGTACCACCTCGGTTTGTGCAAACCGATGCTTTCAGGAATTTGTCATTGAAAGCACCAGTTAGGCAGACGCCGAAAGTCTCCGGACACGAATTGTCCATTGGCGGTATCGGCCTTGCGCGATTGCAGCGTCTATCTCGCACAGTAGAAAGTCGTACACCCGATGGGCTCTTGACTGGAACAACTCCGATGAGACACAAAGCCGGTCGTTGAGTTGTGCTCGTTCAGACTTGCTACCTTTCGTTTGCTAATGAAGTGTCATTTACAAACTTCCTGCTGGACGAGAAACTGCACTCGGATATTTCATGCAAGTCGTCATTGCGTTTGTCTTTGCCTTGTTAGGGCTCTTGCAGCTAGCAGCTTCTACAGAGACTTTGCAGAGACCGAGTGTACTGACAGGTGCACCATCTGTACGACTTCGTGTCATGATGAAACGTGAAAAGATGAGGTTGCACGGGACCTTGTCCTTTGACGTCTACGCGACTCCAGTCATATCTGCAAATGGTGCGAGTGTCCTCTACGACGGATATGCCACGTTTCTTGACAACGGGTCGGAGATTACGTACACTCTTGCAAATGGCGCTGCTTACCTAACGACCAAAGACACTAGCGGTGTCGAGACGGTTGGATGTCTCTCGCCTAATGCACTACCGTTTGACAGGATTTTGCCCGCGTTGAATGACGTTTCGCGAATTCCAAGTGCATCCATTGGCGAGGAAGCAGTCAAATGTCCAGAAGGGAATTTGTTCAAGACGTCGTTCGTTGGCGTGCACTACGCCATCTGCGTGTCTGGCGAAGCCGGATTCACGGCATTCAGCAGTGACTTGGACATTGCTGTCGAGTATCTCGACCGACAGGAGCGTATTCAAGAACCAAAGCTATCCGATGGAAGAAGCTCATGCAAACCTGTCGCACCAGCCACACTGATGACACCAACCGCTTTATCTCTGATGCGTGGGAGTAATTTGATGTCAAGTACGACAAGAGGTCTAAAGGCAGAGTCTCACATGGCCATGCAGGCGACCGAGTGTCAACAAACGTCAAAACGTCGCCCTTGCATCATATTTCATGGTCTCGGTAACCCGCACGAAAGAACCGAATTGCAGAACACGCCGGACTTGGTCCGTGATAGGATAGGCAATATCAACGCCCCGTTTTGCTCTTCAGTCAAGTATGCTGTAATCAACACCGCCGACGTCGGATGGAGGGACGACATGTTGCAACAGAAATACTGCAACTTCTCGCTCTCCCTGAGCGCTTCGAGTGACGTAGCTGCTGGGATTATTGACAACGCGATCATTGTGACCCATTCGATGGGCGGCCTCGTGATGGCTAGTGCATTGGCAAATGGAAAGTGCTCATTCTCACCGAACACGTCGTGGGTATCGCTCAGTCCACCAATGGGTGGTAGCATGACTTCGGATTACATGTTAGATGTCTGCGGGGGAAAAAAGATGCCATCGCTGAAGGACTATTTGGATTGCTTGGCCAGTGTCCACTGATGCCTTCCCGCGGGACGACAGTCTACCAAGGCGAGAAGTACAGCACTCCAGCCATTAACGAAGCGTATGCAGCGGCGCAAAAAGCTTATCGTGACAATGTGGCAGCTGCAATATGCAGCGACAGCTACTATGGCGTCTTTTCGAAATACCAAGCCCCCTCCGTTATTGCAGCCAAGGTCGTCTCTCACAAATCCAGCAAAAACGACGGCCTCGTAGAGTATCGTAGCTGTTTGGGTGGTCTCGACGATGCCATCTTTGGGGACCATTACCTGAATCGATTCTACCGATCAAAGCTGAACCACGCGGACACGGCATTCATGACGGGTGACGGTATCTTTAAGGACTCACAGAAACCCACGAAATGGTTCCAGTGTCTAGCGCTTTAGTTTAAGTGCGGGCACGCGTCAACCAGCAAACGTAGTGAATACATTGATGCGCTTGTATTTCCTGAGCTCGTTACTGAGGGTGAAAACATACCCAGACTGTGCTTGGATGAACTCGTATCGCTGGTGTGCTTTTGTGTGGTATTTGCCATCCTTAGCTTGAGTGAATGTGGAGACCACGTATTGAACTCCAGGCGCAAACAATTTGCTTCGTCTCGGCAAAGCTCAATTGGAGGTTAGTGCGTCTGTATTGCAAGCACGGACCAATCCCCTCCATAGCGACAGAGAATCATTATTGCGATGTGTGAATGTCTATTGTATATGATTGCCACGAATGATCATGGTTTGCAGAAGATAGTATAGACGGACTACTAGCGTTCGTAAGGAGCTACTGCGTGATATATGTCATGTCAAATTCCACCAAGCTCTTTCAAAGTTGACGGAGATGCATATACAAAGGCGAACGACGGTGAGAGCAGCAGAATGGAGTTGCGCTAGTCAAGGCTTGTGCAGTATAGGGTAAAGAAACGATTGGGCCCGTCAGATGTAGTCTAACAAGCTGGAAAACGACCGCCTGAGATGTTTGACTATGGAGCAAAGTGTGTGTCATGATGATTCAGCGATTGGTAGGCTGTTTGTCGACCCACTTGCAACAACGAAAAAGCTATACGCTGTAGTTTACCTAGAGCTATTTTAGCATAAGGGCCAGTAATGACGTCTTTCAAGCATAGGACGATGGCGTGCGGAAACAATCGGTGCCAAATTTGTCCATCACAATTCGATATGCCACTTGATTGTCAAACCCACGGCACCAGTACACCTTGATAACGCGATGCCCGAATAGGATCTGTCAAGGCCATGGAAAAGGCCCCGTGAGGCACATAATACAGAGCGATTATGCTAGAATGAGATCACTCGCCCATTCTTGGGTTGAACCTTCACGCAAGCATTCTCATAACTGGATTGATGGGACTTGACAGTATATGTTCCCACGATGAAGAAACAATAGCACACGCAACTGCAATGGTGTAGCTTTTACATCATTTGCTGATTGAAGAATTGAGGTGTTCAACCGTATCGTAAGCACCACAAGGGTCAGTTTGCCTTCTGCGATGAGGCTAACATGTTTGCTACATCATTCACTCGAAACAAAGTAAGCTTGTCCAAAAGATGGTTCGCATTGTTAAGGCGTGATTAATAAATTCGTTAGCAGCTCTCCAACAAGTTGTGCAAACGGTATTTGTCAACAATTTTAGGTCCGACGCGTACTATGAAAAGCTGATGGAGTAAACTTTAAATGCAGATCTGAATCCTCCGTCAAAGGGATGGTTGGGTACAGTACCATGATACGCTTCGTCGGTTCGAAGATTTGTCTTTATCATCGAACAACTTTGGAATGAGATTTGTTCAAATAGTTTCTACAAGAAGCAAACAAGTATTTTTGTTCTTTACAGGATCCAGGCGTCAGTACGGGGCGGCATTCGCTGGACTTTGGGTGATTGTTGTCATGCACGCTGAGCTGGTAGCAACTTTAGTTTCGAGATGATATGTGAGATTGCACAAAAGAACTGTGAGATACATAGGCCATGTTCAACGATACAATTATGATGGGAACGTTGAATGTGATCTTCTATATAGAGATTGCCGTCTGTTCTCGTTGAATTGTGTATCACTGGCGACATGGAGTACTGTAACGGGGTGAGTCGTTACATAACAATTTATAAGAAATTGTTAATAGAATATAACTATAAGAGTTATATTCTCAGAATATTGTCATAAGGACAAATATTCTGTAGCACTTACGAATAGTTCCTAATTGGTTGATATAGGCCATTATATCAACCAACGAAGACGCGCCACGACAGACGCACGCAATGAGTGGTGAGCAGCTAATTGATTTACACATTTGTATTTAGACATAGTTAGATGAAGATAAATAGTGATTCATTGCAGACATTAACTATACTAAATACAGTTCTACTTCTTACTTTAACCAAGTACTCGCTTCTTCTTACCGTCTTTCTCTGCACGTACGAGTGTACGTGAAGTTCCGAGGCACCGCCTTATTTTGTCATCAGAATAAGTAGCTTGTACTGTCACCAGTACAAGCTTCAGGGTGCCCCGTTACACCTGGTAGCACTTCGTAGTCCGTCCAAGGACCACGTTCACATCTAACATGAATATGTCAGATGATGAAGATGACCAAAGCTTTCACGCTACGCGTGGCGGCTACTCCCATTTGAGCGATGTCGAATGGGATGCGGTTGAACGGTTGGGTTCAACCATGGGCATCCATGCTGTAAGCGTCATGCTAGAGGCTCTCAATAGAGATGCCCAACATGCTACTATCGCCAAGTTCATTCAAAATGAACTTGACGCAGAACGCGAGAAAGTAGCCTTGCTTCACCAACAAGGTTCTCAACAAGCAGAGTTGTTGAGAGAACAGGGTGCTCAACAGTTTGAACTGTTGAGACAGCAGCAGGCTGCTGCTGGTGGGTCGATGCATTCGCGTCGACCCGAGACATTGAAGATTGACATCTCCAAGTATAGGGGGGTCGAAGAAGACTCCCTCTTGAGATGGTTCGTCAAATTAGACGACGCCATAAGGGCGCGTCGCATCGACGACGGGGATATGCAAGTTGCATTTTCCCAATCAAATCTGGCAGGACGTGCCAAGACTTAGGCTTTGGGGCTCAAGTTGCACGACCCATATGCGTTTGGGTCGTTGGAAGTCTTCAAGTCGCGGCTCAGACAAACGTTTGAACCGCCTAGGGCTGAGTTCAGAGCTCGGACTGAACTCTTGAAGCTCAAACAAGGTAAGCGTGATGTGCACGCTTACGCGCAACGTATACGACATCTCACGAGTTGTATAAGTTCCAACCCAGTTGATGAACACACGTTGGTTTCGGTGTTCATGCAGGGTCTTGCGGATGGTCTCGTCAAGACTCACCTGTTCCGACTTGAACTGGATTCACTAGAACAAGCCATTTCCACTGCGAAACAGGAAGACTTCAGTCTGAGACAGGCTCGCGCCAGCTCAACATCATATCGTCCACCGAGACGATATGACAGAGGAGGTCCAGAGCCGATGGAACTCTGTTATGTAGAGAGCGAGAAGGCTCGCTCTACAGGCTACAAGAAGTTGCAGAGATGCAACAGATGTCAAAAGACAGGACACTACGCTTACGAGTGTAGTGCCCCTCGTCCAGTGTCTCGCAACACTGGGTGTAGTGACCGTCCACCCATGAGAAAGGGGCAGGGACGCGGATCCACTGTTGGTCCAAAGACGCAACAACGGGATGGACCGTCAAAAAAAGGACAGGATCAGTAGGTGCGGAGCACCCTACTGGTCCAGCAACGTCAAGAGAATTTGTAGGCCTCTTGATGAAGGTTGCTCCCAACACACAAACGTTGTGCGTTGCTGCTCTAGGTAATGAGGTCTCACTCATTACCTTGAAACTAGAAGTGACGAATAAGTTGTCCCTTCGAGCTCTAGTCGATTGTGGGGCGTCCAACAATTTTGTGCGACGCCAATCGCTAGAAGATGGTCATTTTAAGTTCAGTGAATGTGACACACCTCCTACGAGGATGACGGTACGTCTTGCGACAGGCGCATCCGTAACCGTCATGAAGCGTATAGTGAAGATCCACTATGCGCTAGAAGATACCCAATATGACGATGACTTTATCGTATTGGATTTGGATGACAAATTTGATGTCATCCTTGGAATACCGTGGCTCAGAAGGTACGAACCACGAGTAAACTGGAAACATCGAACAGTAACGATGCCTGCCGCTTGTTCATCAGATGGCCATCTGACGAACGTTTTGGAGCGTCCACAAGCGTGTGGATGTACTACGAGTGAGTGCGATGGCCTCACTTGTGGTACGGTCGTTAGTACGACTGCAGAAAACCTTAGTGTGACAAACGGTTACACTTCGGAGCAAAGTTCCGGCGGCTGTGAGGAAACACAGGCTGCACCGAAGTTCCACCACTCGAATAAGTCGAGTGGACCGGGACAAAGATGGACTCCTAGCGGGGAACATCTAGAAGAGAAACAATCGATCGCTCAGGTTAAGCGAAACGATAATCCTAGATCGACTGGAGAGTCTTTCGTAGAGGATCTCGCTGTGGTTGCGCAACCCCAGCTAGAGGAAGTAAAGGGAATAAGTCCCAAGATTACAAATACGGCGGAAATAAGTTCCCCGAAACCCGCGGGAATAAGTCCCCGGGAAGACGAAGGAATAAGTCCTTCGAAGCCTGAGGGAATAAGTCCCCAGGAAATGACAGAGACATTGAATGTCATAGTCAATAACGGATCAAGTGTAGGCGCTTATACACTTGATCTAATTGCGCCTCCGAAGTTGATTTTGGAGATCACTCAGTTGCCAATGCTCGAACATAGAATGTTCTTGCGTGATCTGTGTAGTGGCAAAGTCAAGCAGATCTGCGTACTCGTCGCTGACGACGAGTGTGTAGCCGGTATAAGGTCAGCAACAATTTTTACTGAGAACGAGAGAGTTCTCAGTAGTTCATCTATGACGAGAGTGTCCTAGATGAAAAGACACGAATTGAGCGATATGAGTCCCAATCATGGGAATCGCTCAAGGAAAATCCTCTCTATGAAGATTTGGTTGAATTCAAGGATGTATTCCCTGAAACTGTTCCGTGCGAATTACCGAAGGATAAAGGTATTCGACACGAAGTCGAGCTTAAACCAGGATCGAAGTACTGTGTCATGAAGCAGTGGCCACTGCCTCGTGAACAAGTACTTGCGATCGACAAGTTCTTTGCCGATCGTTTAGCTGCGGGCCATGTGAGGGAATAACACATTTCCATGTAGCTCTCCGACCTTCTGTGTGCGAAAGCAACAGGAGGGTGGCGGATTGTACATGCATTTAACAAGTTGAATGCTGCAACGGTACCGGCTCAGACGCCAATACCGAGGAAGGACGTAATCATTGATGGTATGTCAAAGAGTACCATCTTTTCGTCCATGGATTTGATGGATGGCTTCTATCAAATCCTTATGCGGGAACGGTACATACCCTATACCGCAGTGAGCACACCTAGCGGCATGCTCTGGGAATGGATAGTAATGCCACAAGGGCTTAGTAATGTCCCTGCCACGTTCAACAGATGTGCATCACATCTGTTGAGGCCAGTACGAGAATTCGTACCGAGCTATTTCGATGACGTATTCATCCATAGTCGAGCTATGGATGGAAAGTCGGACGTTGAGGCTCACAGGTACCACGTCCGACAGGTTCTTACAATCATGCGAAAGCATCAATTGTATGCAAACCTCAAGAAGTGTATATTTGCAGCAAGCGAAATACCACTTCTTGGGTGCATCGTTGGTAAGAACGGAGTACGTCCTGATCCCGAAAAGATCAAGGCGATCACCGACTGGCCTGTGCCGGTTGATGTCAAAGGTCTTCGAAAATTCCTTGGGCTAGCGGCGTATTTGCATAAGTATTCACGCAATTACGCCGAGATGACTGTGCACCTCTCTCGTTTGTTGAAAAAGAACGAGAGGTGGTTACGGAACGCTGAATGTCAGCGCTCCTTTGATGGTATCAAGCAGAGCTTGATACAATCCCCAGTCCTAGCAATAGCCGATCAGGACAGGCCATTTCATGTGGTATGTGATGCCAGCGATTTCGCAATCGGCTGTGCATTAATGCAGTACGACCTTGAAGGCGTTGAACGCGTCGTCTGCTATCAGTCGCGTCAGCTGCAACCAGCTGAGCGGAACTATCCAGTGCATGACAAGGAACTCCTTGCCATGAAGTATGCACTCGCGAAGTTCAGAGTCTATCTATTAGGAGATAGACCCTTCGTTGGTTACACTGACCATGCGTCATTACGCACGGCAGTGAACAGCCCGCACCTTTCACAACGAATGGCGCGGTGGTTGTCATTCTTTGCAGAATACAACTTTACGGTCGAGTACAAACCAGGACGACTTAACGTCGTCACTGATGCACTCTCACGTCGTCCCGACTTTGAACCAGTCGTGAAACCCAACAGTGAGACAGCCACTGTTGCGTTTATGACGTCCTCGATACCATCTACAACGTTGTATGATGATGTGAGGCGGGCATACGCCCAAGATGGTGAGATAGTGAAGTTGTTGACACACCTCTCCCAACCATCTCGAGAATCGTCGAAACGATTGTCGTCTGCGTATCGATCTGCATCAGATCGATACACTACTCGTAACGGTTTACTGTACTATACAGCCGTTTCTGGTGACACACCACGCGTTGTCATTCCAGATGATACTGATCTGCGTTTGCGGATCATGTTCGAGTATCACGATGCTCCTATAGGAGGACATCGTGGCCGAGAGAAAACATATCTCACGGTAAGTCGAGACTTTTACTGGCCCCGCCAGTATCAGTTTGTGCGCAAGTATGTTCGCGCATGCGAAGTCTGTCAACGAGTGAAGTCAAGTCCTTCACTGCGTGCACCGTTACAGCCTCTACCGGTTCCGGCTGAGTGCTGGGAATCCAACTCAATGGATTTTGTCTTTGGGTTACCCAAAGACGCACACGGGAATACGGGTATTCTCGTATTTGTTGACAGATTCAGCAAAATGGTACACCTTGTGGCTGTACCAGAGACAATCACGGCAAGTGGCTGTGCTTGTGTCTTTATCGACACCATCTTCCAACTTCATGGGTTGCCCCGTGAACTCGTATCAGACAGAGATCCACGATTCACTGCTGATTTCTGGCGTTCCGTGTTCAAATCACTCGGAACGCGCTCGAAGATGTCGACATCTGATCATCCAGAGTCAGATGGTCAGACGGAACGTGCCAATCGTGTCCTTGAAGAGATACTTCGAGGATACGTACACTCCTTTAAGAGTTAGAGTAAGTTTTTGCCAATGGTAGAGTTTGCCATCAACAACTCGGTGCATGCGTCCACGACACATACACCGTTTTACGTGAATGGCTTGCGCCATCCGCGTGTACCCACCTTAGTAGAGTGTAACTCTGGTTTAAGGGGGGGGAGGGACTCGCGCGAGCAAAAACCGATTTGGTTCACGCTCATCACGCTCTGACGAAGAAGTCATTGCGTTTGATGCCGATATCGATAACATCGATATCGAAGAAGATGATGCCAGTGAGAGTGCGGAAGCCCTCACTGAAGAAGATGATCCCAGTGAGAGTGCGGAAGCCCTCACTGAAGAAAAGGTTGATGTTGCTGCAGTGCGCTCACAGCACACTGAAGCTAACGAGTCATCAGATGAGTTCATACTGGCTCGTGAAACGGTAGTCCGTTTTGTGCAAGACTCCATCGCCGAAGCGGTGGATAAGCAAAAGCAAAACGCTGATAAGAATGGAAAGGCAAAAACTCTTTTATTTAATAAAGGTGACTTAGTCCTACTGTCTACGGTTAATCTACCAAAGCATGTAGTGACTATCTTGGGTAGCAGTAAACTACTACCCAAGTACATCGGCCCTTTTCGTGTATTTCACCGCCTAGGCAATGCATACACGATCGAGTTACCACGTAAGATGCGAACGCATCCCACGTTTTACGTTGGTCGGCTTAAGCCGTACCATCAGTACGCTGCTTCTTCCGATGAAGAACGCCCTTGCGCTCAAGCATCTCGCAGAGAGCCTTGTGCTCCCGATGGTGGGCATCAACAAGGGTCTGAAGAGCAGTTA